CGGGCGCGCATTGTGGTCAGCACCCACTGCTGCTGGGGAGGAGCCCCCTTCCTTCCTTCCTTCCCTTCCCCTCTGAGCTGGGACCACTCCCCAGCTAGCCAGAAGCACAAAGAGGAGCAGCACACTGGGAGTTGCTCCCTCCTCCAGGAGTTTACTGACGCCTTCTCCAAGCACTTCCACCCTGGTGCAGAGCCCATGTGCGAGTCCTTCCATGCCCAGCACACAAATCTTCCACCTCAGCAGGGTTTTTAAACATGGTAGGGTTTATCCTCAAGCTGGTGTAACCTGACAGCCAGGCAGGTTTATGTTCCCTGAGGATCTAGCCTGCCAATGCAGCCTTATCATTGGATTTACACTGTGTATCTTCCTTAACTCGTATCTGGGAGAAGGGGGTAAGGAGGTTTTTGTTTATGCAATGATTTTGTACACTCTTGAATGTCACTTGCCACACTATGCATGATAGAACAGACCTTTTTGAAAAGCAAGCCATAGTACCCTGGAGCAATTAAACAATTTTGTGAAGTGACATAAGAAGATATTTTGTAATTGTCTGTAAAAAGTGTTAATGTCAGAGCTGTTTCTTGGTCACCCTATATTTATGTCTAAAAGCACTTTAGTAATCTGGATTTTTGAATGTGGCTCTTCCTGTATTGTCCACCATTTATTTATTACACATCCATAAATAAAATTGTGGTGTATCTTTGGTTTTCATGCTCTCTATTGCAATTTATATACCTTCCTTTGACACATCTCATGGCAGTGGCTGAACTGGCCCATGCACACGCCTCGACAGCTCTCCTGGAGCACCTCCAGTTTCATCCACCAGCCAAAACATAACGGAAAATTATCAAAATCTGAGTAATTCCAATTTGGAAAGTGTTCTGACACAGCTCAGGGGGTGTGTGGGGCAGGTAGTGATGCTGCCCCTGCTGCTGGGCCTGGCTGCTCACAGCTGCAGCTCCAGGCTGTGCTGGGCAGGGGGACAGAGGGGGGACATTTCCTGGGAAGAGCAGAGCAGAGCAGTAAGTGGCACGTGCACATTTCCTGCTTTTCCCCTCCTTGGCTTGGCCAGACCCCTCCAGGCTGCTGTGGGGAGGGGTAACACATGCATGGCAAATACAAGCTTTGCAGGGAAAAAAAAAAAAGAAAAAGTTTGCTGGGGGGGCTGTGGGGAGCACGGTTCAGGAAAGGACCAGCCAGGGCTTATTGCAGCAGCAATTAGGCTCACTGAGAGCCGAGACTTAGCACATTGGAGGCCTAATCCTGCCTGAGCAGCATCTGCAAACCTTTTATTTGGGCTGTGCCACGCTGGCACTGGATGCTTGCAATCCTTTTTATTTATTTATTTTTTTCCCCCACTTTGGTCTGCCTGCGTGCAGATGGCCTGGCTCCTTGCCCTGTGCTGGCTGCAGGGCTGTGAGAGCAGGCACGTCACCACCAGCAGTGCTACAAGGGGAGACTCTGTGGATCCAGCATGCACGGGGAGCACTCCTGGCAGTGCCTGGTGGGATCCCAGTGCTCACCACAAGCTGGCAAGGAGGAGCCAAGAGGAGGGCTGCTGGCAGGGAAGTGTCCACTGTCCTCCAAGGTCACTGCTTGGAGCAGCAATAGCAGCAGGGCAGCACATTCTGGTTGTTGCTTCAGGTTTGCTCCATCCTGAGATCAGTGGCAGCCAGACCCAGCCATGGCTCAGCCCGTGCTGGTTCAGTGACAAGAGTGTGACCCTGATGCCAGGCAATGGCTGCCACTTGCATACATCTCCACTGCTCCATGTGAGACCCCACAGCCATCCTGGTGACCACATCAGGGCCTGGTGCCATGAAATTCCCTTTGTAAGGAGCCCCAGGCATCCCTCAGCCACGAGTGCTGGGCTTGCTCTAGCAGAGCCCAGCAGAACATTGTCACAGACATATTTTATGAAAAATCCGTTTGCTAGGATCTTTTCTCCTGAGAAAGCTTCAGCTTCTCCATGTTTTGCTGCTTTGGAATGTGATCTGGAGAATTGTTTCCCCAGCATGTGAAAATAGTTTTTACTTGATGACCAATGACGGCCACCTGTGTTGAGGCTGTGAGCAGTCACAAGATTTTATTGTCATTCCTTTTCTTTCCTTGCTAGCCTTCTGATCAAATACTTTCTTCTATTCTTTTAGTATAGGTTTAATATAATATATATTTTAAAGCAGAGATAAAATGACCCAACCACTGGTAGTCGGAGTTTTCTTACATCCCAGTGATGGGCCCAGAGCAGAGAAGGCTGCAGGGCTGCATTTGCAGAAGCATCTTCACGGTGCCATTTCCGTACAGCTTTAGCAGTGTTCATATCTGTGTCACTTTGTTTTGGCCAATCCTGCCAAGCCGCAGGTTGGATTTTCAGACTGGGAGCTCAGCGAGCGAGCCCGAACGCTTTGTAAGCGCTCCCTCGTGTGGAGCTGGGAGATGGGACAAGAGAGGAGAGGGAAGCGGAGGATGTATTAACATTTTAATAATAAATGCAGTCTTGTAATTAAAAGGTAACTTTTGTAATTAAAATAAGAACGATGCTAGTGGGATTTTTTTAGAAAGGAATGAGGCACTCACACCAGATAGCAGCCACAGGACACCTAAATCTTTCAGAGAAAAAGAATTTAGTGCCCTCTTAGCAGAAGAAAAGAACTTCTTCCTGCCTCGAAGAGGCTGATAGGATTAGAAGGAAGAAGCTGATGATTACCAGACAGAATCCTGTATTTGAATGGATTTATGCATCATGGATGAGGTGTATGAATATGCAACAGGCTGTTGCTTTTAAGGGTTAATCCTCTGTTAACGTGGGTCCTTTTTCAGGCTCATTCTGCCCTGAAAAGTACCCGGACGTCTATAACTCATTGTATTCCTTGTCTCATATTGTCCTAATTCAATTTGTCCAAATTATTATTACTCTAATTGTATGACTATTTTTATAACCGTTTTATTACTATTAAACTTTTAAAAATTTAAAAGCAAGTGACTGGCGTTTTTCACACAGGCCAACCCTGTCCTGGGGTGCATCAGGCGCAGCATCGCCTGCTGGATGAGTGAGGAAGGGGATTGTTCCCCTCTGCTCTGCACTGGGGTGGCCTCACCTCGAGTTCTGGGGGCAGCTTTGGACGCTGCCATGTAAAACAGACATTAAAATTGTTAGAGAGCTTCCAAAGGAGTGCTACTCAGGTGGTGAAGAGCCATCCTTGTGAGGAGACTGAGGAGGGACCCCATCTCAGTCTGCACGATTAAAGCTGTAGGACATTCGCGCATCTTTTTTCTGTGGTGACCAGCGACAGGACCCGAGAGAATGGCTCTAACCCTGTATTGGGGAGGTTTAGGTTGGATATTAGGAAAAGTTTCTTCACCCACAGGATGGTGGGGCACTGGAACAGGCTTCCCAGGGAAGCTGTCACAGCACCAAGCCCGACAGAGTTCAGTGGGTGTTTGGACAATACTCTCGGGCATTCTCTGTGATTACTGGGGCTGTCCTGTGCAGGGACAAAAGTTGGGCTTTGATGATTCTATGTGTCCCTTCCAACTCAGACTATTGTAGGACTTCCTAGGTTAATTCAGCACTAACACCAATACAAGTCCATTCTTTTAAACCAGGTGCACCTGTTCAGCCCGCAAAATCTCCACAGGCGAGGCCACCGAGTGTCCTTTCCCCCGATCCCACACTGTGCGGCCGTGACCCTCGCGGGGGGGGCGCGGAACAGCAAAATTTTCGCCCGCCTTTTTGGCAACCTTCCCTCTCTGGGCGGGGAAATCCGCAGGTTCAGGCTGCAGGCTGCGGGAACCGGGGAGGACGGGCCCGAGTGTCACCGTCACGGGGTGTCGCTGCCGACCGCACGGC